ACTAATCCTTGGGTCTATTGAATACCCTATAAGCCCAATAGGTTAGACTAGTCAGCGATTAATCTTCAGGGTCCATTGAATACCTTACAAACTCAATGGATTAGGTAAATCACAAATGTGGTTAATGACTACTTATGGGACTCAAATACAAAATCTATGAGTAATCTAAGGCCTTATCATCCGGCCACATCTAAGTGGTTAAGAGAATATACTTATGTTGGATGATTGACTAATGCAATGACTAATTTGGTTTATGCTAAAGTCATCTCTCCAGTCAGCTTCATTTTTTAAATTCAGACTTCGTTTTGGTCAGTAAAGATTAATTCATACATGTTTTGAGTTAACTTTTGTTGACTAGAATTCAAATTCGACGAGTTTTAGATCCGAACCTAAGAAGTAAATCAGAACCAATAAAAAGTTATAGAGATTATACTTCTCCGAGATGATTAGGTGATAGGCTTTATGAGAACATATGTGGTTTTGTTTATTATTTTAGACTTTGTTATGCAGAATCATCATGATTAGGGCTCATATTATTGAAATATTAATGGTAAAAACCAGCTTAGCATTACATTAATGATTAAGATAATCTAGAAGTTCATCTAACAATGAAGCTAATTAAAGAGTTTCAGGAGAAAGTGCATAGATTATTTATTAATTCCCTTAAACAGGCCCTTTTTCCCCCCAATTTTCTAATCAAAATTGAGCTTGGAAAAAGCAGTTCATTGCACTTTGAATAATGCATTGACTCAAAGATTGGAAAAAAGGAATCAACATGGACCCATGGGCCATCTGTAAGTGGGCATCAAAGAACACCAGATCCACACGGTTTACTGTCAAACAGGTCAACTACGTTGAAGAGATCAAATGGTGACCCATGTGTTTTTTCTTTTTCGGGTATTCGGAGGTGTCCAAAGTCACCTCAATTAGTCTTTCAAAACCGTAAAGTTAACAGCCAAGTAAATTTTTAATAACTCTTCCTTATTAGTAGTCGTAGAGATTTGAATTTAAAATCTCTTGAGTAATATACCCAAGAGTTCCAAGCGAATAATTTGGCGACCCATGTGTTCCCTCAACAAAAATTTTATTTTGTGCGTGGTTGTGGCTGATTAATTTCAGTCTTCCTTTATGAATGCTTGGATTGGATGCACATGTTTGCAAGCTTAATATTAATGTCATACCCTTACCTTTACATGTAAACACGTACGTGTTACGAATTGAGATCTATTTATTGATAGAAATTTTAACAAATTAATTCAAACAACAATCAATCAATCAACTAATATGAATTAGTAATCAAGGTTTATAGGAATACCCAATTGTGTCATATCTTTATAAACTCTGGAATTACGGTGACTGGTCTTTCTTTCCAAAAATTGCACCAAATGATGTCTTTCAAATGAGACTCAACGTAAGATCATATTTTGGAAAGAGGACCTAACTTGGCCCTCCTATTAAATGCCCAATAAACTCTAAAACCTATTACAGGCTCAAATTCACACTTATCATCAACAAATATTATTTAATAATAAAGTGTACTAGGCAATCCTGAAATGATCATATTAAGCTCATCAAGATATCTTATTGGATTATATGTTTATCCAGGTTGATTAAATAAAAAATGGTCTATTTGTTTTATTATTTTGGATAGAATTTATAAGATTTTTGAAAAAGTAAGAGTTGGGTGATTATTACAGGTAAGATTTGAAAATTAACAAAAAATATCTCTTAGGTTTATTAATTTACTGAACACCCATGTAATAAAACATTAAAAATTAACAAAAACACCTCACTCATCCATTAAATACCAGTAGTCAGCTACCACCATCGGAGGATGGTCGGAGTCATCATATTGGCGCACTACCAGCTGGATCTGACCGGTTATGTGTTGATATAACATTTTCTAGCCGGATCTGGCCAGAAAAAATCAAATCTACGACTAGTTCTGGCCGTTGACGGCCTAATCTGGCCGTGTTTGGTCGTCAATGGCGGCTAAAGATATAGTCATCGTTGACGACTAACTACGGCTAGAGATCTGACCATCAATAGCAAGATCTTAAGCCTTAGATTTGACTTTTTCTTGCTAGATTCATGGTGAATCTGACCGGAAAAGGCTAAATCGACGTACTACTAATCAGATCTAGTTGGTAGTGTACCATTATATCAGATTCCAACCACCTGTTGGTGGTGGTGGCTGAAATCTGATAAATGTAGGTAGATGGATGTGTTTTTATCAATTTCTAAACTTTTTCTTTTTTGGTATTTAGTTAAATTAACAAACTTAGAGAGTTTAAAATAATTAAATAAAATAAAATAAGATTTTCAGAATAAGAAAATAAATATGTATTTTAAAAAAAATAGGAATAAGATAATATAAAAATAAGGAAACAAACCACCCATAATTCATGGTAGCCTATAATTGAGAAATTTTCCAACATTTATTTCTATGTGGGTTCATATTACACGTGATAAGACCTATGAGAGAGATTGATAAACGGATTTCAAGGAAATTCGGCTAGTTGATTTGCGGAATTTAGGTTGGTTAAGTTAGATTCATGAATTGAGCCTAGAGAGGTTGGTTTCCCAGGCTGTACTGTGTTGTTGCCTTTGTTTTGGGCAAAAGGGGCCTATGCTATGGGGATAGTTAATCTGGTTGGTGGCGTTTCGATAATTAATTACATTAACAAACCCATTAATTGTTGTACGGATAGATTGATTTAAGATTTCTAAGTCAAGAGAACAATAAATCAAAATAAAATCTAATTTCACTAAGGAAACAACTATTTCCAATTCTATCTCCGAAAAATTATTTGACTTGTGTTTAATATTTTTATTTTCATGAAGGAAGTTTATTCTTTACTATGAAGCATATAATTATTGTATTTTTAGTTGGATCTCTGTTTCATAATGAATTTGCAAATTTGGCACCTTAATTACTTGCCTATTCCATTGTTTAGAGTTGTACCATTCTGTGTAGTGATAATAGTGGTCTTGATTTTCCCGATGAGTAATCTAATGTATCAACGAGTGGTGAGGTTGTATATATAACATTATTTTTATATTAATTCTAATAATAATACTAATTAGACAAGTAAATATTCCTGAAAATTTTTAGCAAGGGAATTAGGACTATGAGATCACTAAGAGATACTAACATTAATTGCCTCTCTGCTGAGTCTATATTTAATAAGATGTTATATACATATATAAACACATAAATTAATCGCATAAGCAATTCACCAAAACCATCAATGGAGACATCAAACACGGGAAAGAAGACCAAAGGTCGTCAAAGAATTGAAATCAAGAAACTAGAGAATAAAAACAGTCTTGAAGTCGCCTTCTCCAAGCGAAAGAAAGGGATTTTCAACAAAGCTAGTGAGCTTTCTTTATTATGTGGTGCTCAAGTTGCCATTGTCATAATGTCTCCAAACAATAGACCTTTTAGTTATGGTCATCCTAGTGTTAAAACTCTTCTTGATCGTTTTTTCTCTGGAAACAATGAGTCTTCAGAGTTTTCGACTAACAACGAAGCGTTTGACACGATTAAACATGAGATCGACAGGCTACAAGATCAATTTGAAGAGGAAGAAAAAATTGCCAAGGAGATTAAACATCGAAACGAAACGAATGACCACGACTGGTGGGAACAGCAGCGTGTTGATGATATGGGGTTAGATGAGCTTGAGCAATTTGTCAACTCTTTGGAACAACTAAGAAGTAACGTGGCAACAAGGGTGAACAAAGAGGAAAATAATGATCTTGCAATTGTTGCTAAGAGTGATGGTGTCAATCATCTTGAGGCAAGGATTGATCAAAGTGTTGTCAATGATGTTGCACCTCTCAATTTCTTCTTTGATGATGGCAACTTCTTTGACAATATGGATATAGGAGGATTGATTTAATCATATGTTTTAATTGTTGTTGAGTTTTTTAGAGTTTTTTAGAGTTGTTTTATGTTATTTGAATAAAACAATCATATTCAATTTTGCACAAGTGTGTTAGCAGGATTCAAATCTATGGCCTAATCAAGAAGCTATAATTTAAGCTTAAATTAATCAAATATTCAACAACAGGACACTGGTGCATTCTAAATTCAGATCTTTGATGAGATCCTTGATCATTTTCTCACTATCATTGTAAAGAGTAATCAAGTTTGTGGACATTGATGAACTGACGACCACGAAGGTCCACAGCCATAACAGAACTCGAATCGACATCTGAAAGAAAAAATGTAATTGAAACCAGTTACAGCTAAAACAATAAATATATGATTTTAATCCAGATAATTAAACCAATAAATTATCTGCAAGTAATGTGCAAGCAGCCCTGAAGCTTTTCCACATAGAACTTGCACTTGGGACATCTTCTCCACTTCTTATTCTTGGCTAACTCCATCAACATTATATCTTCTCTCTCTCTCTTTCTCCCTTTCTTAGTTTCTGAAACTCTCCACATCCCATTCCTTCATGCCATGAAACCTTACACTTAGCACAAAACAGCCTGTGACAATTCGGACATTCTAATACTGTCACAAAACAGCCTATCCCGGCCCCAAATTTCAAGACTTATTTTGGGCCCGATCCTGGCCCAAATCTCGAATGATTCAAGGAAACTCCGTCTTTTTCGGGTCGGGCCGAGATGGGTCCCTGCAAGACCAGATTTTATGCCCATCCCCATTCCCATGCATATTTAGGAGTCAGTCTAAACAGTTTCAACGTCTTTTTCTTCTCTCAATTAAATCAAGAGATCAGTAGAGCATTGCATTAGATATTTTAGAAAATGAGAATCAAATTAAGAATCTGACTTTAATTAATTAGTGGGAATCAATTAATGGACAATCAGGATCAGATCATCTTTATAAGGTTGTGATTGATAAGTACAAAGCTAATTATTTTAACTAATTAATCAAAGTCATAATCAAAGCATTAATATTTGATAGTGGAGTCAAAATATCTTGTTGATAAAATAAGCATCAGAAAACGCCATTGCTAGCTGCCTTCCACAAAGACACACCTGTCCTGTAAACTTGGCATTATTGTTGCAGACAAACGAATTAAAAGCGACGTTGATTCACTGATTCTTATCTTTGAATATGCAAATTGCAAAATATAACCTGCCACAACATCATCTTTATCTTCTCTAACACTCAACTATTACATACATCTCCATTAGACAAAATATCCCACAAACCTTCTCACTTTTTTCAACCAACTTTTACATTATCAGAACTGACTCAAGAACAAAAAGGAACTATGAAACTGTAGTCCACTGTATTTTCTGAGAGTGTGGCTGGTTATTATGGCGTCTCTGACGAAGCTCCTTGAGAAGAAGCTGAGTCTCACGTCTATCATCACCACTGCAATGGCGCCTGGCAGATGAAAGCATTTGTTTGGTTGAGTTTTCTAAGTCCTTTATATCATCCAAATAAATCTGCCTGTCTCTGCATTTAATGCTGCAGAATCCATGATCGCTCCTGTAAAGATTCACACAAAATCTCTTAACAAATTAGATCCTGTTTAATGTTAATTAAGTTTCAAGTTTTAATATGAATATTACCTCATGTACACATCTTTGTCGAAACTCAGCTTCTTGTTGCAAAGATGACATGACTTGAGAAAACAAGAAGAATCTTCATCAGCTAGTTTGCAGCCTGGGGAAAGTGCTGATTTATTAACAACAACGTTAGATTTTCCCTGAGAATTCTGGACAAGAATTTTCAAACCAACAATCACTGAGCTCTTGTTTGAGCTCTCCTTGATGTCTTCTTCAACCTTGAAAGGATTTCTGAACCTTGGAATCATTGTTATCTCAGCAAGAAAACTGAAGAAAGCTGGAGAATTTATGAAAATGTGAAGGAGTTGAGTGAAGGGTGGGTGTACTTATATATAGAGGAAAAGGTAGAAGTAAAGCTTTTGGCTTCTGGGGCCAAACAGAGAACATAAAATAATGATTAAAAAGCCAAAAAGAGAACAAGTGGTGCAAACTTTGCCTGGAGATAAATGTTACTGTGTTGTACCGTGTTTGGTTGAGGTGCTTTTGGTAAAGTGTTTTAAGTGGTTAAATGTTATTAAAATATCAGAGAATTGAAAACATTTTCGGCCTGTTGTTTCTTTTCGGCCCTACCAAGAACATGACTTTTTAGACTCAGTGCTTGATATATTCACCATTGAAAACGTGGAGGAATTTGGCCATTAATTTTTGTTTAATTTCATTACAAACTGGGAGTTGAGCTAACTTTAAAGTCCAAGTATTAATTTATTCTGATTAAGAATACATTAATACTGCCGTCCAGCTCCAGCAGCGGTTTTATCGAAGGAGGGGACCAAGGCTTTACCGAAACGTGTTACATGCATGAATCACTGTATGTTTCTGTCTTGACTCTTGATCAACAACAGTGACAAGTAGCGGATGATACTGGTTTGATTGGTGTGAAGAAAGGAGAATGGGCATCACAAACTGAGTCACTTTCATCATCTTCAACAAAGATAATACTGAGTTTTGTGGCCCGTAAGATTTAGCCATTCACCTTTTCTATCAGAATAATGTTACCAACGCCAACGCTTTGCGTCAAAATGTTAAACCGAATGGCGTGTAGTCAAACGAGCCACATAATACATTAAGTAATATTTTATGAATGAATAGTCATCCATCAAATATAGACAGTCTAATAAAAATATATAGACAGTCGTCCATTTTTATTAGACGGGAGATCACCTATAAGGACGTCCGTTCATAATTTAAATTAAAAAAATTTGATAACAAAAATCATGGACACTTGTTCATATATTGTGGATGGACATCCCTACTTAATGGACGGACGTCCCTATTAGGTGAATGTCTGCCCATTGTTTAAATTAAAAACAAAAGCAATGGACAGGCATCCCTCTTAGATGGACGCCCATCCATTTCTGTCCATTAAATAGGGACTCTGCTTTACAACAGAATCTTCTCTTTCTTGCAGTGTTTCTTCTACTTTCTTCTTCTAAACTCCTATTTCTATTTACTTTTAAATACAAACACAAAGTTAAAATAGAAGTTCATCACTTGAACTGCATATATCAATGTAGTCAAAGGGTCCGCCATCTGCAATAAAAAATAAAGTAAAGAAATAGGTCCCATGCATACATCAATGTAGTCAAGGGATCCACCATCTGCAATAAAAAATAAAGTAAAGAAACAGATACTACGAAGGTTCATAGACTTTAGCTAGAAAAATGAGATTACTTTTGTTTTTAATTGAAACAATGGAGGGATGCTTGTCCACACCCGTCCATAATATATGGATGAGCGTCCATGACTTTTGTTATCAAATTTTTTTAATTTAAACTATGGACGGGCGTCCTTATAGGTGGACTCCCGTTCATAGTAAATGGACTCTCGTCCATATAATATGGATGATATTCTATTTTAAATGAACGACTATCCAATTCGCGAAATACTACTTAACATGCTACATGACTCGTCTGACTCAGGTGACACGTCGTTCGTTTAACATTTCGGTGTAAAGCGTCGGTGTCCGTAGCATTATTCTTTCTATTATTGTTGTATAGGGTAAGATAATGCCATAATGGGGACCCTGCCACCTACCCTTCCATGCACCTGGGTGGGGCGATCATCATCTGGGGTGATGGAGTGTGATCAGGTGGGAAAACCCTTTTAACACAAGAAATAGAGGTGTCCTGTCGATGTAATCCTTCCCCGCCGTAAGCCTAGTGAAGAGAGTTTCCTTTCAAGTGAAACCGTGAAGATAAGTCTTTGACGAGTGGACCAAGTTCTTCTCTAATTTTGTAAGTCTTTTATTAACATTACCACAGTATGTAACTTTAGAACCGTAGCTAAATTGCCTCAATATCTATCTAGAATCATTATTCATTTATTTAATGAAAGAGAGGTGCAAAACTTCTAGCAATAGTTTCCTGGATTAATTAGTTGGAAAGATTGGTACAAGAGAGAGTTCTATCTAAGCCCTGTAGAGCCCACGTTTGTTTATCATGGTATTAGAACAGTTTGTTTGGGAGGAGGGTGAGTTTAGTGGGTTCATATATATATATATATATATATTTGGACTCTCTTCTCTCTTGAGTTAGTTGGACAAATCTTAATTAATTCCTAACCTTCTCTTTTGAGCTAGTTGGACAAATCTTTTTGGGCTTGAGTTCTATCCAATCCTGTTAGATGATGGATGGACAAATTTTTTTGAGTTTAAATTCTATCCAAACCCGTTTATCAACATGTATAATGAGTGGACAAACCTTAATTAATTCCTAAATGTTGTGGGTTTTAAAGATATTATATATTATTCCTAATTAAAGAATAAAGATGTAGATATATATGCCCTTGCTTGGAAGATTCAAATCTCCAATGAGATGACTAGACAAACCAAACCCTTTTTCCAAATTAAGATGCTTTGCTTCATCTTCACGAGATGATCAAAACTACTTTTGGGAAGATTTTATATATTAAAGTATAAACATAGTCATGTGAATTCATGACCAAACAAACACATACACAATTCCACTCTCACCTCTAATTAATATTTAATATGTCGATTCCATCTGTCTATTAATATTTTTCATGTTATTTTTTAATAAATAATATTGGGTTTTGGTTCTGAGAATATAAGCTTTTGGAATTAGGAATAAAAAGGCATGCATTAAATTTTGTTGTCCAGAATAATATCAATTTAACTTTTATTATCAAGTCCATATTTCAAAGTGGGATGCTCGGCTCAATCAATCACCATGCAAGTCAACATTACATGAAACTAGGGAACAACTGACGTAGGTTAGATGGCGTTCTAATCTTACGACAGCGATAATTCTCAAAGAAAGTAATAAGAAATTTTATTGAAAACTTGAATGAATATAACTTAAGAATTACGTGAATATTATAGAATAGTAATTCTTAACAATGGTTATTTCTAATATTCAAATAATTAATCTTCCTAAAATAAAACCCTTCCGATTTCCAAAAAGGGAAAACAAATAAAATCTAAAAAGGAAAATAATATGAAATAAGAAATTAAGTCCCAATTAGGACAATAAATAATCCTACATACAATTACAAAATCATTGGAAAATAATAGCGAGTTTAAGAAAAATCAAGCAATATAACATAAAGAATATATATAGAAAGAGGGTTGGTGATATATACAAGGGAAGAGATGAAGCAAATCAAAGTGAATCTGGCAAGAAAGCAGTGAAGGAAGAATAATTTGAAAATCCTGTAGGCAGCAGGGTTTCCGAATTGCAATTGGACTCTTCCTTTCCTAAAGGAATAAGAAATCACACTTCTTCTCAAACTCTGCCTCTGCCTATATATAAACCTTTGCCCCCTTCAAATCTCTTCACGTTCAAAAACTCTTTATTCTCTTCCTATAAACCCTCCACGTTCAAAAACCAATCCTATCATCATGGCTTCGAAGTTCTCCATCAACAAGTTTCTTCTTATCAGGTTGGTTGGTGCTTCTTCTTCTTTAATGCACACGTATAATATCATCTTTGATTGTCTCGTGAGCTGATTGTTTATATTTTTTTTTAACTTCTGTTTGTAGCAAGCGATCGTATGCGGTAGCCGTAGAGAATGTGAGAGTTGTGCAGCCACCAGCAGCGTCTACAGTAACGAGGAAGATGGAGGACGTTTCATGTATGGAGAAGAAGGAAGTGTTCTGGATGAGAGATCCAAAGACTGGTAACTGGATTCCTGAGACTCACTTTAACCAGACTGATGTTGCAGAGTTACGAGACAAGTTTCTTCCTCACAAAAATTGTCAACAAGCTTAGAACTACTAGATGGATATACGGACTCTCACTTTTAGTTTTCTGTAATCGAATCAATCAAACATATTAATAAAATAAATTTTCTGGTTTCATGTGATAAAGAACCATAAAGCATCCACATATACTGTCAAAAATAAAAATATTTCAGTTATTACTTCCTCTCGGACAAAATTATATTTGAAGAACATGACTTATAATCCTACAAGTAGAGCTGAATAAGCTCATCACTGACTACGGATGGAGTAAGAACACCTAGATCTGTGAAGAGAAGAGTGAGATACTGTGGAGGAGTGTAATCCCGGGCGGATGTTTCGACCTCAACCTTGGACGGGATGGGTACACCAAAATCAATAGGACGTAAGGCGGGAGCCATGTCTTTCTGATCCAATGGATAAAGACGTGCAAACTGCAAAAGCAAGTAATGAGTCATGCAGGGTGATTATTAGTACAATGCACTAAATAAATAGTGGAGAGTGAATGAATGTATACCTTATAGCTCTCTGCAGCAACATAAACCGGTTTGTTCATGCTGTGAGCAACTAATGCAATCTGGTATGTACCCATCATGTTAATGATACCTCCACTTTCAACTACTCCATCCGCTCCAACAAAAACCATATCTACCTCATCCATAGAATATGCAACAGCTGAATCTATTAGAAGCTTCACGGGAACATCAAGTTTGGCCAGCTCATTGGACAATCGTAATCCAGTTCTGTCTGGCCTTCCCTCTGCATTTTAAAGCAATTCAAAACAAAGAAATTAAAAAAAATAAAATAAGAACTCTTGCATGCTCAATCTAGATCAACTTTTAAAGTAACAAAATGATAGAGAGGAGTGAAACTCTTAAAGTTGCCAGTCATGGCTACACAGCCCAGTCAACCAAAACAACGGTTACTAGATGCATCTTGAGCCTTTTCTGATAACAAAACCCTTTCTATTACCATTCATATGGAAAAATTAAGTGAATATTGAAGGATGCTTACTTTAAATCAAGTCTTGAAAGTTCATCAACAAATACAAGATCAAACACTCTGTACGTGAAATACTAAATACCGAGATCTTAGTTCCAATACCACTAAATTTCATATAATCCAGATAATGCATACTTTAATCAATGCATATGACAAGTAGTTCTGAGAACATAAGTACAAAACCTGTGCAGAAAACTCGGAAGAGTTTCTTATTTTGTGCTGCTGTCTTCAGTACTTCCAGAACAACTCTGGAAAAGCCATGCACCAAAATAGTGCAACCGTCAAATATAAAATCTTGACTAAGCATTGCAATGATCCTTCGTGCCTGCAACATGGGACACCATTCTCTTTTCATGAGAATCTTGGCATGAATGAAAATGCAGAAACGATGCATTGTAATAGTAGACATAATTACTCAAATCACCTTATAAGATATCTCCCCAAACTTCTCTGCACGTTCAATCAACCGAGACTTAGCAGAATTAAAGTCCTCATATTCTAAGGCTGAAGTTCTGGTTACATATCGCATGAACAAATCGCAGCCTGCTGTCAAAGAAATAGAAGTGCTGTCCCATGACTGGGAACAAACAGAAAAAAAATAGGATTAATAATTTGACTGGAAACAGGGAATCAAAAAACTTAAATTCCTTTATTCAACAACTTCGGAAATAAGATTCCTAGAAGCCAGCCTAATTGATTAAGCAGAGACAGGTAACGAAATAAAAAACACAACTTAGGTAATCATTAATGGAATGCCACTTACACTAATAATATATGCCTCCAACACACTTAAGATAGATATATACCACAACTATTATGTAGCAAAACCCTGGTTTCGCAAGTCTCTCAATGCTGGCATATACTACCTTATAAACAATCCCTCTCCACAAGGCTATTATATCATCATATTTTACACATTATTGAAGTTATCTGCACCTAATATGGAGACTTCTACAAAAACCTACAGCCTTTAGTAGTTATGCGGTGTGATTCCAAACAGATGGCATCAAGGATATACGGCATCTAACATCCCAAATACTTACTTGTGAATATTGAGCAACCATGCTCTCAAGAAAGCACCATCACTAAAACCAGAAATATTTCCCTCCATCATGTCCGCAGGAGAGCAAGTATTGAATTTCTCTAGCACCCAGACTAAGCACTTCATTTTCAAATATGAAATCTTTATGACAATGCAGTCTTTATGATAATACATGCAAAATGATACAAAGATATTCTGTACATTCCATACAGAATTATGACTGTATTAATAATTTCATCTTGTGAAAGTCACAACCTGCCTTCACATTGTTTATCTCTTGCGGTCTTGCCTCTAATGTTACCTTCTCAAGGGCTTTATACAGATATATCATATCTACACACATTACACGCAGAGTGTCTCAAGACCAATAGCTTTTTCAAAGGGATACCAGAAGTCTAGCTAAACTGAACTCCAAACACTAGAAATATAATATCTTTAAAATAAGAATGAATTCATTCAAAGAATACACACATCCTATCCTTGTAGTTAACAAGCAATATTTAGCCTATATAGGATGAACAAGTTCACAACATCTCCGTATTACATAAATTCAACCCTAATTAAATCATAATCATCATAATTCAATCCATTAACCGAAAAGAAACTTACTTTGAGTGAATCGGATGCTTTTTTAAGTTCAATTTCAAGCTCCATCATAGTATTAGCTTCACTGTTTCTAATAACAGCCGCCAACGCACGTATAGCCGCCACAGCCTCCGCCAAATCCGGTTGTTTCCTCCAACTATTAAACTCCTCGATCACACTGAACGTCCTTCCACTCCTCACACCGGCGTCAACTTCAGGTCCCGCCGCCGTTGTGGCTGCCTCCTGTGCCTGCGCCAGCCAGTCGCTCGTCACGACGCCGTGGTGCGCCGCGCGAGTCTGGTAGTATGCCGAAATCGACATGTTCTGGTCAAAGTTAGGGTTCTGCGGCGCGGCCATGGCGGTGGAGGCTGAGAGCGGTGGAGGCGAGAGAGTGATTGAATCCGATGGAAGGGCTTCGTTTTGAGTGGTTTGGTACTTGTCCAAAATGAACGAGGCTGACCTCCGCCACATTTATAGGTTGTGTTTGTTTTAAGAATCACTTTCTCGGGAAAATTTGGCTAGAGTTTGGAGAGAGAAAATTAGTAAAAAACCGAATCTTTCGCGGTTCCGGTTTAGATTTTGTTTCACTTTAATCACGGATTTACCGATTTAGAGATTGAATAGTGTATTAATGTACTGTACTTTTAACGACGCCGTACTCTGTTCTCATGTAATTCAAGTATTTAGATCGGACCGGACCCAGTATGGCATTACTACCCGCCCGGGGTTAACCCAGCCCAAAACTTCAAGGCCCTCGGCCTTTTTCAGCATTTATAGCTGTTCTTTTTCTTTCAGCATTTATAGCTTTTCTTTTTCCTTTTTGTATCCTTGAAAATAATTTTTAAAATGAAATATGATTTAAGAGTTTGAGTTATATTTTAATATTTTTATTAATTAAAATATATATGATAATTGACAAGAAATTCAATTATGTTAAGAGTTGCAAATTTGAAAAACTAAAAAATTATATTTTTTTAAGGCTTCTTTTATTTTTTATTTTACACTAGTTTTTAAGATTATATTTAAAAGATTAATGCTACACTCACCGAATGTAGTGTACCAAATTCATGCACTAAATGACGTGATAAAATACTGACTGTTAATCAATATTAAGTTATAATTAATCAACGATCAGGATTGTGTCATATCATTCGGTACATGAATTCGGTGCATTACTTTCGGTGACTATCACTTTCCTATTTAAAAATTATTTCAACAGTATATCAAACAATTTTTTAATCGTTTGTATGACATACCGAAAGGACTCTATTGTGTCTACAAAAACTCTATGGGCATACGAAATGGACTTGATCGTGTCTACCAAATCTCTATGAGCTTTACTGATAAAGTGGGCTTGCTGGAAGCTACACCTAGCTGCAGAGAACAATGACCCCATCCGTTTGTTTTATTATTTTTGATAGAATTTTGTGAATAATATTGGGTAGTTGAATAAAGGAGTATTATGAGATAAAATTTAAAAATTTATAAAAAAACCCCTAAATTTGCTAATTTAACTAAACACCCCAATGTATAAGATTTTTGTAAAATAACAAAAATACCCCCACCACCCGCAGTGCCAGATTCCGGCCACCATCGCCGAAATCTGGTAAAAAAATGGCGTTACAACATAGATCAGTCAGATCTGGCAGATAGGACATCGATATAGCCTTTTTCAGCCAGATTTATCACAGATATGACCGGAAAAGGCCAGATCTTACCGTCGACGGTCGAAAAAATCCAGATCTGGCTGTCGTTGTCAGTGGACGACAACCATTTCTTTGACAGTCGGTGACAGCCAGATCCCAGATCGGTTAATTACTAGCCAGTTCCGATCTTGGTGTATGAGTGGATGAGGGTATTTTTGTTAATTTTTAAACTTTTTTCTAGAGATCTTTAATGAAATTAATAAACTTAAGGGGTCTAAAAGTAATTAAAAAAATATACTAATATTTCTCAAATAATGTGCCAAATAATATTTTGAGAATAGGATTGAGAACATGGTAGAAATAACATGCCAACGCACATATCAAATGTGAAATGCCTGAAAACATGTCAAAAGTTTTTTCCTCGGTTTTCAGGCAATAAAGAAATGAGACTTGAAAAATTGTACATGAACTCTGGCTGGCAATAATAGAATGATCAAAAGATCATGTTTCAATATGAATACATTAATTATCAGTCCTTAATTACTAGAGGGTATAATTCACCAAGTTCATCAGAATAGGGAAGCACATACATCTTTAGGAAAACCTTTTCAGGAATCCTACAAATTGTAGTTAATTGAGGTTTCCTCCTAAGCAAATTCTTACTTACCAGAATGTCAAAAACCCTTAGCCGAGGTTTTAGCCTTCGCTCAACGCTGCAAATAAGCAGCCATGAGTTGTTAACTATAAAAGATATATCCAAATTTCCTCTACCAAGTATCACCTCTGTTACCTCTCTAATCTTCCTCTCAGATACGGCAAAGGACTGAGGTGACTTCCTGAAAGTAGAAACAATATCATCTTCTTTAAATCCCAAGCTCCTGAAGCACTTCAACTTAAGCTCCCAATTCTCCATGCTCATTGAACTAATCGTCCGAATAGCAGAAAGAAACATCTTAGATTTCCTATCAAAGCCAATCTCATCGACTCTTTTCACAAAATCCTTAACACTATCAGGCTTGTTGAGCCAAAATCTAGGGAAACTAAACACATATCTAACAATTTGTGTAGAACTAACTCCACAACTCTTCAAATATTCCATATTAGGCATCATAGTCTTCTCCAAATCATTTTTCAGAAACCACCCAGATGTCTTCAACAGCTTAGCCACATCTGCATTTGATCCTAAAACGCTCTTCAACATCAAAATCGATGGTACAAGTTTATCTACACTTCTGGTCAAAATCCAGGGATCAGAAGACAATACATCAGCAATGTCAGTAGATGAAAAACCCAAACCTTGAAAAGCCTTGATTTTGGGTTCAACTGTTTTAACAATACTAGAAGAGAGTACCTCAGGCGCTCTCTTAATCATGTTCTCAATATGGAAATTGCTGAAACCACTTTCTTTGAGAAATAAGAGTACTGCATCCGAGTTTTCAGGTTTCTCCAAATATTTTTTGATTGATGAGGCTTTTAAAGCAGCTTCAGGGGAGAAGTGATGCCGATTGATCAAGTAATCAGCTAAAGGAACTTTGATTTTTCCATTTTCGGGGCGTAAAAAAGAAGAATAAGAAGAGAAGAAAAACCGCAAGAGGGATGAGCATGCAACTGGTGGTTTGTGGAGGTGTGAAGAGTGCTTGAAGTGCACAGAAACTAGGGCTTTGCAAATACAAGAATTCATCACTGTGGAGATATTNCTCAGGCGCTCTCTTAATCATGTTCTCAATATGGAAATTGCTGAAACCACTTTCTTTGAGAAATAAGAGTACTGCATCCGAGTTTTCAGGTTTCTCCAAATATTTTTTGATTGATGAGGCTTTTAAAGCAGCTTCAGGGGAGAAGTGATGCCGATTGATCAAGTAATCAGCTAAAGGAACTTTGATTTTTCCATTTTCGGGGCGTAAAAAAGAAGAATAAGAAGAGAAGAAAAACCGCAAGAGGGATGAGCATGCAACTGGTGGTTTGTGGAGGTGTGAAGAGTGCTTGAAGTGCACAGAAACTAGGGCTTTGCAAATACAAGAATTCATCACTGTGGAGATATTGTTAACATACAGATTATAAAGAACAGAGTTTGAAGTTAAGAAAACAAAACTTGCCTGTTATCGGAATGTAGCACTCAAACATTGAATCTACCGCTGTAGAGAAGCAATTGAGAGTAGTTTCTGAAAGAGTTGGGGATTTGGAATTAGGGTTTTACAGGGGGTTTTTCTTGTGATGGACATTAGGTTCGGGCTTGGGTTTGTGTTGTCTGGGCCGATTAGGATTCAATTGATAAGACAACAACTTATTACCATGTAAGTTGTAAGGAATTGTTTATGAAAAATAATACAACTATCAATGGTACTGTATCGAATTTGTACACCAAATAATGTGATAAAATCCTAATCATTGATTAATTTTAATTTAATATTAATTAATAATTAAGATTTTATCATGTCATTCGATACACTACTGTCGGTGACTGTAATATTTCTCCCATCCATCAAGTTTCAAAATGACATTTTGTCATCCATTGTTAAGTTTCCGTTAATGAAATCTATTATCTGACAAGGATAAAATTACAAAAAAAACAAATATCCTTATTATTTGAGTTTATAATTTTATAAAATTTGCTATAATTAAAAAAAAATTCTATATCATTTTTATCTTAAACACTCAATTCACTATCATCTTTACGTAAAAACATCTCTCACCCACTGCCTAACCGATGCCACCACTCCCTCTTGTTCATGGCAAGCCAGCAGCAGCGCCACCAACAGTGTCATATTTGCTTCTTCTTTAGCTAACTGGCAAGTCTCAACCACGTTTCGGTGTTCCTTACCTTTCTGTTGGCTCTCCTTTTTCGAAACCTTCTCCAACTTGTTTATATTTACCTTCTTCCCAACTAACTTCTCCTTTTTTGTTCTCTCTAGATTTAATTCGGAGTCAGAAACTTGCTAGACTATTGTTTCTATTTTTCTTGCCCAAATTTTTTTCCTTTGTCAAATCAAAGGGCCTCGGGTGGCAACCTCCCTCCCTCCTCCAAAAAGCCCACCACAATTACTCATGACCCTCGCCGTCAGTGTTGGCAACCTTGCTCTAGAATTTATGTCACACAGCCAATGTCAAAATGATTTATTTTTGTATTTATTTTCATGGATTTTATGAGTTTGATTTTGTATCTTCTTTTTTTTTTTTTTAATTATGAATTTATGTTCATGGAGGAATTTTTGATGGAATTGGAAGTGTATATTTCTGTAAAGCAAATTCTGTGTTGTTTGGAAGATGTATGTGAACCAAAATTTGGGTTGAAAATTTGTGAAGGCAGAATCCTTTGCTCTTTTTCCTTCTCTGTTCCAATTTTCTCCCTCTACTTTATTTGATTGATGTTGTGTGTAACTCTCTGGTCGCCGGTGAGTGCCCATCATTTACAACCTTCCCACAGGCAACTCACCCACTACCTATTTGACAAAATTCCTCACCCAAACTAAATTCTGCTTTTTTAGAGCAGTTCTGTTAAGCAAAATCTGGATTACATGGAAGGTTTATGTGAAGTAATTTCTTGGTTTGTATTGAAGAATTATGAAAAGCAAATTAGATCTGACAGAAGAATTATGTATAATCTTTTTATATGAAAGATTTCGGTATGTGGAAGAATTATGTAAAATAGCCTTATTGTTTGAAAATACCCTTTTTACTATTAAAATTAACGTCTAAATTTAACCATGAGTGGGAAAGTGTCGTTTTAAAACTTGGTGGGTGGGACAAAGTTGTTTTGCCAAACCCTGGGTGGGAAAATGTCGTTCTCCCTTGTTTATTACATAGACTGTTAGACACCATTGTTTCTGCATAGAGAAAATTGTCTTACATGCATTTAAAATATTTTACTCCATATTAATTAGTTTTGAAATACATCAAAATCAACATTAAATCTCGTCAAAAAATAGACCGGCCCACTAATTCAATTGATATCATTTTGATGGGCTAATGGCTCACCAATTTAATTATCCAAACTAAACAATTGAATCACATTATCTATAGGCTAACCCATTCAAACAGTTAAATCCACCCACTTAAATTAGTCCCAACAGCCCCAAACAATGTACTGTGCCTTATGAGTCAAAATAGGCCGGTCCAACCCAACAATTAAATCAACCAATATAATATATAATTTTCTCAAAATAAAGGCTAACCCAATATAGTCATTACTCACAATATCTTATGTTTGGGCGGAGCCCATCTCTGTTTATAAGCCTTCCGTACTAAAATTTCAACACACCAACAGCACTAATAACATATAAAAGATATTTTCCCACATTTCATTATGTTTTAGTAGCGTTTTCTGTTAATTGACTTCATAATTTTTTATTATTTTTTTGTCATATCAACAAGACAATTACCAAAATATCCACTCTTTAAATATGAAATTACTAGTATACCCTCAACTTTATATGAAAGTTAAATTACCAATTTGTCCTTGTTTTAATGTTTTTTTAAATTAAAAATAATGTTTCAAATTTATGAAGTTACCGTTGGATTTTTAAAAATTTAGAATCTGTAGAATTACCATTTTGTCCTTCTAGTTGTTGCAACCCTAAATTGGCATTTATATTTAAATTTTTTCAATTTAAACCCAAATAAAACAACGTACTAGCGTTACTAATATTTGAAAATAAGAATCCAAATTGTAGAATTGCAGTGCATATATATATATAATTTTTTGTCAATTGAAACCCAATAAGAATAGGAAATTCAATACAAGAAAGCAAGTTTCCACAAACTTTGTGCAAAGATAAAAAATAGTACCGTAGAATTAATAGAGAAGCAAAAGTGTAAAACGTAGCCACAAATTACAAAAATTTCATAGAGAAAGCTTTGCCATATCGGATCAAGGGATTTAATTTTATAATGATTTCTGATGATCGTTATTTTTCTCTCATTCGTTGTTGTAGCCAATCGTCACTCGCCCTTTCAAACCTTTTTTTTGTTAGTCGTCATCGTTAGTCGCCAACCTTAAGTCCCCAATCGCTTCAGTTTCGAAGAATAGGAAGAACACAAAATCAGCTTTTTATTAGTCCACGAAATTGTTGTGCATTCAAACCACTACCATGATCACTCCATCTCGGCCCAATAAGACACCCAAAAAAAAGCCAATACAGTGTACCCTTATTACATACAATGAGCAGAAGAAATGGTTACGAAAGAAGAGGGAGAAAACCCTTAAATATCAGAGAGCAGCAAGAGTTACAATTGAACTCTAGGTTAGTTGCTTCAGTCTAAGAAAGCAAAGGGAGAGAGAGAGAGAGTTACAAACATGTGCAACGCTATAGAAGAACTGAAGATAATGCACAATAATAAGCCAAACCTGAGCATGTAAATCCAGGTCTGGTTGCTTACTGAAATCTAATTTCTTGATGACTATAGACTGCCCACTTCTTAGAACACCGAAATACCTCTTCCATATGAGCCCTCACCAACTAATGAGTCTTTATTAAAATTATCTATTTTTTCCTTGAGTTAATCAATTGAAATGTTGATTTAGAACATTTTTTTACGGTTAGCGCCAAAAAAATAAGGTTAAAACAAACAATACCACTTATAAAAAATTGAGTTTTCTATTATAAAAAAGGGTAACAAACATTCCAATGCAATCTCAATTCCTTAATACATGCTGCCAAGAAGCTTACAGATTATTATAACAGTAATAATAAACAGAGATCCTCAATTTTACAACATAAGGGAAAAAAAAGTCATATGGACTTTTCATGTCAATAACTTTAGAGTAAAAATTGGCATTACAAAGTAAAAAATCATCCTTAATGAAGTGGATCCTTAGAACACATTCCTAGAATTAGTATTATGTGCACTCAGAATGGAAATAGCCTATATTATTCATATCTGGCAAATACAAACTTAGATATACTGAGAAACAAAGAATATTATCTAACCTGCTCAAGGCTATTGTAATCATCATTTATCTTTGAATATTTCCTCTCCAATTTCCTTTTTGACTCAAGGGCCCAACCATAGTCGTTTTGAGAAGGCGCATAATGCTGTTGTGACACATATTCTTGGCTTGGTTGAGCATATGTTGGCGGTGGATAATTGTGATGACACCATGAACGTGAACTAGATCCAAAAGAAGACTGTCGAGAACTTGTTCGTTTTGAAAATATCCCCCCCATAAACTATTTGACTGATAGATATTCTAAAATTTCAAGCAAACGTAAACATAATTGACAAAGCTTATCTAAAAAGACCTTTTCAAGTAGATTCATCAATACCATGAAAACACAAGCTAAACAGAAATGAAAATCTCAATGACGCAATCTACCACATAATTTAATGGCAACAAAAGTGATTGAAAACTACTCAATCATCTTATATCAATATACATGTTGTTTTCTAATATCAAAATGCTTTTTTCCCTCATGGAAAATTCAACATTCGGAAAACTTTTTAATTTATAGTTAGTGAAAATGTGGGAACAGGGAGGAAAAAAAGACAATTGAATTTAGACATTGCAAGATATTAAAGATAGGAAATGAGACCATTAGAAGCGAAATCAACAATGTAAAATAACGATATAACATCTTAATGCTACAATTTAAGCAATATAAACTCCAAAAGTTTCAAAATTCAATCAAAGCTTTGCAAAGTTTGGTCATTGAGTAGTTACTACAAATAACAATAGATAAATCT